CGCGTGACTCTTCCCCATGCTGTTTCTCAGATGCATTGAGACTGAAAAGCTCTTCTGCAGCTAAAATTGTTTCATCATGAATGAATGTCAAATTTTGGCAAATGCTGTTTCTGTATCTAGGTGAAAAATATTTTCTATTTTATAGTGTGGTGGATCACATCGACTAGTTTTTAGTGTTAAACCAAACCTGCATTCCTGGGATAAACACAACATTGTCAAAATGTGTTATTGGGAACACAAGTTTTTGTTTCTTTATGTCTTAATTAAAGGGGTGCACTATAAAGCTGTTTGGTAGTTTTATTTATAGAAAGCTATTTAGTTTCTGCATTATATGTTATGTGTAAACTTTTTATACTCCTTGGACTGGTTTTGGTCATTTTGAAAGACATTATCCATTTTCTTTGGGCCTGTGGATTTATTCCCTTCACGGCGTCCACACTCCGCCATTGGCTGACGTTCTGTGAGATGTCCTCGCTTGGCTCCTGCTACTGATTTGCGACTTCCTGCTTGGTCATTTAGAATGGACGTTTATCAGTTTTATTGGTCTTTTCAAAGAGCTAGATTTGAGATTAGTGGATTTTTCTCCTTTTATTCTTTCCCTGTTATTGGTTCCTTACTAATTTCTGCTCATTTTTCTCTCCTCCTGTTTATTTGGAATGAACTCCTTTGTCTCGGGCCTGGGACACAGTTCAAGGGCAGAGTGCTTGCTCAGCTGGAGGTGGCCCTGGGGTTGATTCCTGAAGCCACAAAACACAAACAAGCAAAACAAGAGAAACATTTCCCCTGCTTCTTATGGTAGAGCTTTTGATTACTATTTTTCATCTCTAATCTAGTAACGTCAATTTATATATAATACATATATAAAGTGATATTTTAGCTACATCTCACAGATTATTTTATTCTCATTATCATTCAATTCAGAACCAATTTTTCTCTGAGCATCCTTCTTTGAGCTATGTTTATGTATGAGACTACTGTTAAATTTTCAAATATTTGAGGAGGTTTTTAAGTTTCAAATATTCTAAAAATCCCTTCAAAGGGCCAGAATATACTCTGAGTAATTTCTTTTGTATTATAATAATAATACCTGGAAATAAAATACTAAAAATTATATGATTTGTTGTAGCAGTCCCACAGCCGCTCAGACCCAACCAAGTAAACACAGAGACTTATATTGGTTACAAACTGTATGGCCGTGGCAGGCGTCTTGCTAACTGTTCTTACAGCTTAAATTAATCCATTTCTATAAATCTATACCTTGCCACGTGGCTCGTGGCTTACCGGCATCTTCACATGCTGCTTGTCATCATGGCGGCTGGCAGTGTCTCTCTGACTCAGCCTTCCACTTCCCAGCTTTATTCTCCTCCTTGTCCCTCCTATACTTCTTGCCTAGCCAATGGCAAATCAGTGTTTTATTTATTAACCAATCAGCAACACATTTGCCATACAGAACATCCCACAGCAATTTGTTACTATTATTAGCATTTTTGAGACAGGATTTCTCTATGTAGCCTTGACTATCCTAGAACTTGCTCTGTAGACCAGGCTGGCCTCAAACTCACAGAGATCTGCCTGACTGTGCCTCCCGAGTGCTGGGATTAAAGGCATGCACCATCACTACCTGGTATCTTATAATTATCATTACTTTTTAAAGATTTATTATTTTATGTTTTGTTTAATGAGGGTGGATTCCTGGTGCCTGCAGAGGGCAGAAGAGTTCCTCTGGAAAGAGTTACAGATGGTTGTGAGTTGCCACGTGGGAACTGAGACCTGAAACCTGGTTCTCTGTAAAGGGCAGCCCGTGCTCTGAACCGCTGAGCCATCCCTCCATCCTCTAGTTTTATAATTAGCCAAGTTTGGAGAACACAAAGCTGCCTGCTTTGGAAACGTCCCATTGCGTTTGAGAATAATGAGCCCTTTGCCATTGCTGGGTATTCCATGACTGTGAGGATTGACAAGCTGGTTGATACGCAGTTGATTGCACCTCTAACCTGAATGATTTTTATCTTCTCTCAGTTACTCGGAGAGGAATGCTGAAGTCTCGGGCTATAATTGTGTGTTTCTCCTTTCAGAGACTTCTTTGGATAACAGAGACTGACTCTCAGAAACATAGCTGTCCAAGAATAACAAGGGAGGGCTGGAGAGATGGCTCAGAGGTTAAGAGCACTGGCTGTTCTTCCAAGGGTCCTGAGTTCAGTTCCCAGCACCCATATGGTGGCTCACAACTATCTGTAATGAGATCTGGCTCCCTCTTCTGGCCTGCTGGGATACAAACAGAACACTGTATACATAATAAATAAATAAATCTTTAAAAAAAAAGAATAACAAGGGATTGCGATCTGGGGTATGCATGCCACTGTGGACCACAGATAACCCAGAGGACTGAGGCAAGGCAAAGCCTTTTACATACATAGAGGAAATGTCCCAATAGCTGTCTCCTTTCTCGCCCGCCCCCCCTCCCCCACTTCCTGGAATCTTATACAGAAACTTTCTGTAGTTAAACATGGTTTAATTTTTCTAGAATTTTTAAAATCAGTGTTTTGTTTATTTTAAATATTTTTTATATGTATGGGTGTTTTGCCTACATATGTGTTTGTATGCTGCATGTGTGCCTGATGCTGGAGGAGGTCAGAAAAGAGGATTGGATCTCCTGGAACTGGAGTTATGGACAGTTGTGGGCCGCCATGTGGATCCTAGGGATTGAACCTGGGTCTGTAAGAGCAGCTGATACTTTTAACTGCTGAGCCATCTGTCTGGACCCAGAATCTCTTGGTAATTTCTTTGTTTCGTGTGTGTGTGTGTGTGTGTGTGTGTGTGTGTGTGTGTGTGTGTGTATACCTGAGTGGGTCTGTGTGAGTGTATGCCACATGTGTGGGGGTGCCTGAAGAGCCTGGGAAGAGTATCATATGTTAATCCCACCTGTTGAGAACAAGAGCACTACCACAATATTTTGAGCTAAATTTGAAGCAAGCTTTATTAAATACTGGCCAGGATGATGGACACTGACCAGGTCCATTTCCAGGATTGCCAGAGAATGGCCACTAATTATGTTAGTCTAATGCTTATAAAGTATGAACCCACAAGGCTACATACTTCCTGCCTTCACCCAACTGGGGGCAAGCATATGTCCTGACAGACTTTCTGCCCAAGTACCTCCCGCCTATGTGTGATCAAGCACATCCTGTGCAGTTGGGGCAACCAACCTTGTTTTCAAGAGTGAAAATATGTGGCTTGTTATTGGTTTTCAGGAAGACGTCCTTCAGAGAACTGGCGTGTCAGAATTGTTGGCACGTTCAGAATCCTTGTGTCACAAACATGAACATAAGTGTCACTGCTCTAGAGGCGGTGGGACCCAGGAGAATGGAGCCTAACAATGAGGCAGACTAAAGTCTCATGCAACAGACAACTGTATTTAGCGCATCAGACAGTTTGTATTCGGACAGTTAAGCAAGATCACGTGAGTGATGTTCATATGAGTTCCAACTGTATACAATCACAAGAACAAGCCTCACAAGGTCACATTAGTGAAGTTCACATGAGTTCTAACTGTATACAATCACAAGACCAAGCCTCGCTTGGACGCATTTTCTGGTTGACAGTGATAAGCGACAATGGGCAATCTGAAGCAAACCTCACTCCTATTCCATATGCCTGGGAAGGACATGAAAGCACACTCCAAGGACAACCCGTGTTGTGAAGGAACTGAGGTCACAAGACTCTCGTCTTGTTTTCTTGGGGTTTTCTTACAAGCTCTCCGAGTTCTCCTCACACAGCTTCGTTCATGGACCATGTTCCTACACATGAAGACAACTTCATGGCCTCCTGGTTCCATTTTGCTTGGGTTTGAAATAAAGTGACTCTGTTGCTACTGACAGCCTTGGTGTCATTCATTTTGAAGCCCTGTGGTTAAGAGCTAACGTATTTAGTTCTGGCCTCTTAAAAACTTGATCCATTTACCAACATACAGTGTTCCTCATTATCCCTGGTAACATTCCTTCTTCTGAAGTCTACTTTGTCTAAAACTAAAATCTTGTTGTTTGCTTAGTATTTGTGTAATACGCCTTTTATTACTCAGCATTTAACCTATGTGTGTCTTTAAAATAGGCTTCTTGTTGAGTGCATACAGTTGGGACACTCCCCCCTCTTCCACTGGAATAGAATACTTGAGACTGGGTAGTTTATAAATAATAGAGCCTTGCTTTTTCTTATATGTCTCAAAGTTGGGAAACCACAGAGCATGATGGTAGCACATGCTGTGTCAACTCATAGCAGGAAGTGGAAGTACAAACAGGATATAAGTGAAATAGCTAAAAGGAGAGGAACCTCCCATGACGTCATAGCAAACCCATTTCCAGGATGCAGCCATTGATGCCCCCATAGTCCAAACACCTCCTCCTGACCCCACACTGAGGAATTAAGTTTGTAACTCATGTGCTTCTGTGGGACACACCCAACCCATAGCATACTGTCCTCGGCTCCCAAATCCTTGTCCTTTTCACGATACAAAATAACTCACACCATTCCAGCTGTTTCAAAAATCTTAAATCATTCTAGTATCAACTCACCAATTCTCATCTGAGACTGAAGGCAAGCGCCTTCCAGTTGAAAATCAAAGTAAGTCGCCCTGTCTCAAGGCAATAAAGTAGAATGCCATAGAGGAAGATATCCGATGTTCTGTTTTGGTTTTCACATGAGTGCACACAGGTATGCACACCTATACACTCATGTATGAACCACACACAACATGTACTACACTGCATACCATATACACAACATACACACACAGAAAGGGAGAGACAGAGAGAGAGAGAGAGAGAGAGAGAGAGAGAGAGAGAGAGAGAGAGAGAGAGAGAAGAACCTGATCTAATATGCAATGGGGGACATATTCCAAAAGGGTGAAATAATAGAGAAGGGACCTTAAAGAAGATTGAAAACCAAGAAGAGAGACAGTGAGTTGTGAAACTCCAGAATAATCTTCCGTTCCATGTGCTTCTTCCTAGACATACTCAGGAGAGTTGTGTCCCCGAAGTCCTGGGCAGCCCTGTCCTCTAGCTGGACTGGATTTAGCTCCCATGTCCATTTCCCTGAACTGGAGTTTCACACTGGTGCCTGTGGTCTTCCCAGGTGAGTGCTGCCTCCTGCCAGGAGCGTCATTATTCTGAGGTCCCATGCACAGTGATCCCATTCCCACAGCTCCATGGGGCATTGGCCTGGTAAACATCACCTGCTGTGACTCCTGCTGGTGACAGATCTGTACATGGCCTCCTGGGGTTTCTGTAGCAGCCTTTGAGGTCTAGGTGGTGGAAGAGTCACACCCCACTCTGAAGTCCTTCTGTGTGCCTGCAGAATTAGCACCGTGTGGACGCTGCTGGGGTTCATTGTGTGGGCCACACCTAGGGATGCTTGAGCCTTGGCTGGAACAGCCAGTGAATGCTGTCCTGGGATGCGGAGAGCAGAATCCCAATGTGGCCTTGGGCATACGTCCTTGATAATATCCTTCGACTTTGCTCCTTCAGTTCTGGGACTATGGTGGAAGAGACTAAGCTCAGAGGTGCTCCTACAGCACTTGGTCCTTTTCTATTTGTGCTGATTTCTTTAAGTTTCTCAGAATTTGCTGCCAAACATGCTTTGTTACAGTTTTCTGGCCAGGCTGCAAATTTTCCAAAGCTTCACACTCTGTTTCCCTTTTAATTACAAAATCTGCCTCTAAGTCATGGTTTTCTTCCTCGTGTCAGCAGAGGTAGAAGTAACCATGCAGAAACGCAGACGCTATGTTATTTCCTGTGGAAATCCTACTCCATCACCTACATAGTTCACCTTTTCCAAAGCCCTAGGCCATGCGCACAGAGCTGTCATACTCCTTGCGACTGAAGAGCACAGATGGGCTTGACACCAGTTCTCATGAGGGTGGTCCTAGTTTCCATCAGAGAGCTCAGAGAGCTCTCCGCTCGATATTGCCATCAGCATTCTGGTCGATGACTTAAGTACTCGCTAGTAAGTTCTAAATTTTTTGTGGTCATCTTGCTTTCTTTGTCTTTTAAAATTACTATTGTTGCTGTTGTTATGTGTGTATGGCAGACACATGTGGGCCCACACATGCCATGGAATGCATGTGGAGGTCAGAGAGCAACTTCAGCTCCCTGTTTTCACCTTGGGATACAGGGATTGAACTCATGTCGTTGGCCTTTCATGCCAAGATCTTTATCTACCCAGCCATTTTGCCAGCCCCACTCCTTTTTCTTTTACCTTTTAAATATAATTTATTTAAAAAAATTTTTATATAATATATTTGATGGTGTTTCCCCCTTCCCCAACTCCTCCCAGAACCTCCCACCTCCCTACCCACCCAACTATAGTTCTCTCTCCCTCTCTTCAAAAAGCCCACAAAAAGCACAAAAATGAAAATCAGAACAAACAAGCAAAGAACCAATAACGCCAAAATATGTCAAAACAAAAAGTCTATGGAACAAAACAAAACTGGAATTTGTTTTCTGTTAACAATGAGCGTGGGGCCTGCCCTGGAGGGTGGTTGACATACCTAGTACACTCCATTTTAAAAAACTGATTTTTAAAAGAAAAAAAGAAAGAAGAAGAAAAAAAAACTGATTTTTCCTATCCCAGCAGGTATCAACTTATCCCAGCAGGTATCAACTGCAAATAGCTTCTTTTATTTGTTTGTTTGTTTGTTTGTTTATATTTAGCAAGGAGGGCCATGTGATCAATTTTGTCAAAAGTTCTGTGGCCTGCTGAGAAGAAAATATATCCTCTAGTGTTTGGGTGAAATGCTCTGTAGATGTCTGTTAGGTCCGTCTGATTTATGTGTTATTCGACTCCAGCATTTCTCTGTTTAATTTTTGTCTGGATGGCCTGTCTACTGGCAAGAGTAGGGTATGAAAGTCATCCACTATCACTTTGTGGGGGTCAATATGTGATCGTTTAAGCTGTAGTGGTGCTTCTTTTATGAACCTGGGTGCCCAAACATTTAGATATAAAATATCCTCTTGGAGGAGTTTTTCCTTTGATAGGTATGTAATGCCCTACCCTATCTCTTCTGATTAGTTTTAGTTTAAGTCTATTTTGTCAGATACTAAAATAGTGACAGCTGCTTACTTCTTGGGTCCATTTGCTTTGAATATCTTTTTCCATCCTTTTGTCTATCCTTGCTGGTAAAGTGTGTTTCTTGGCTGCAGCAGTAATACGGATCCTGTTTTCTAATCCAATCTGATAGTCTATGTCTTGGTATTCAAGAATTGAGACCATTAACATTGAGAGTTATTGATAAGCAATGTTTATTAACTCCTGTTATTTCGTTGTGGTGGTGTGGGTCCCTCCTCCTTCTGATTTACTGTTCTTGTTTTATTGATTCTTTGGGTGCTCTTGGGTTTTATCAGACTGATGTTTTTTTTTTTTCAAGTGCCTTCTGTAAGAGCTGGACTGGTAAGTAGAAATTGCTTAAATTGACTTTTAACATGGAATGCTTCTCTTTCTCTGTCCATTGTAATTGATAGTTTTGCTGGGTATAGTATTCTGGCCTGAAATCTGTGATCTCTCAGAGTTTGTAGAACATCCAGGTCTTTCTGACCTTCAGAATCTGCGTTGAAAAGCTAGGTGTTACTCTTACGAGTCCATCTTTATATGTGACTTAATCTTTTTCCCTTTCAGCTTTTCATATCCTTTCTTTGTCCTGTACATTTAGTATTTTGATTATTAGGTGTCATGGGGAGGATTTTTTTCTGGTCCAGTCTTTTTGGTGTTCCATATGCTTCTTGTACCTTAGGTAGGCATCTCTTTCTTTAGAGTGGGGAAATTTTCTTCTCTAATTTTTTTTAAAATATTTTCTGTGCCATTGACCTAGGTTTCTTCTTTTTCTATTCCTATTATCACTATGTTTGGTCTTCTCACAATGACCCAGATTTCCTGGATGTTTTGTGCTTGATTTTATTTTAGATTTAACATTTTCTATGACTGAGCTCTCCATTTCTTCTGACTTGTCTTTAAGACCTGAAGTTTTTTCTTCCATGCCTTTTATTTTTATTTTTATTTTTTTTGGTTTTTTGAGACAGGGTTTCTCTGTGTAGCTTTGCGCCTTTCCTGGATCTCGCGCTGTAGACCAGGCTGGCCTCGAACTCACAGAGATCCGCCTGCCTCTGCCTCCCGAGTGCTGGGATTAAAGGCGTGCGCCACCACCGCCCGGCTCTTCCATGCCTTTTAATCTGTTGGTAAGACTGACCTCTGAGGTTTTGTTTGATACCCAAGGTTTTTCATTTTCAGTTTTATATCAATGTGTGTGTGTGTGTGTGTGTGTGTGTGTGTGTGTGTGATTGTATTTCTATGTTAAATTATACTTTCATGTCTTGAAATGTTTCCATTATTTCATTCAACTGTTTGTATTTTCATGGTCTTCATTAAAGCATTTATTCATATCTTCCTCATGGTTCTTGAGCATATTAATAATTGTTATTTTGAAGTCTTTTTCTTATGCTTCAGCTAGATTGCATTTCTCAGGGCCTATTGCAATAGGATTTCTGGCTTCTGGAAGAGACATATTATCTTGGTTGCTCATGTTTTTGTTTTTACACTGGGGTCTAGGCATCTGAAGTTAGGATGTTTGAGGTGGTTTTTGGTATAGATATCTGGTCTCATCTTTTTAGACAGGTTTCTCTCTGTTGGCTGCTGTTGCCCACTCTGGAATCTAGTCAGGTGTCATGTTGTGGGGTCCTTGATAATGTTTCTGCATGTTAGCAGATATGCTTGTGACTTTTCTATTTCCATGACAAAACACTATGATCAAGGTAACTTATAGATTAAATTGTTTAATGAGGACTTCCAGTTCTATAGAGTTTCACAGGATGGGTCCATGGCCATCATTGCAGGGAGCATGGTGCTAGAGCAGTAGCCCAGAGCTTACATTCTTATCCTCATGTAGGAGACACACAGAGAGAACTAACTGGGCTTTTGAATGGCAGAAATATTTCAAAACCTCAAAGTCCTCTGTCAGTGACACACCTCTTCTAACATGGCCACACCTCTTAATCCTTCCCAACTAGTCCCATGGGAGCCATTCTCATTCAAACTACCACAGAAGGTAACACAACAGAATGGAGGCAAGACTGAGAGGGACCCACAGGAAAGAGCTAGGGGAACCCTGAGTCTGTACCAAGAGATGGAGTCCCCTGGGAATGGAGGTGGGTGGAGGGAGAGGCTCCTGCAGGCAGGCTGGAGAAAGAATGTGAAAATCCCTTACCTGAGTCCCAGCCCAGTGTGGCCACTAGGAGTCCCAGGTAGAAAGTGTTTCTTCAGGTCTGCAGGTGAGACAAGGAAATGGAGATGGGTTAGAAGGGAAGGCTGAGGGGCAGCCAGGCTTCCTGTTTCTTAAGTAGTCTCCAGTACCATTCTTAATACTACTTACAGTAATTTATTTTTTCTAGCTTGCCCCTCCAATTTTTTCTAAGTTCCACTCATTATCCATTCCCGAAGTCACATTTCAGTTTTCAGGTGTCTTTAGAGCAGTGTCACTCTAAATACTTTTTTGTTGTTGTTGTCCTGGTGGTTCTGTGTCGCCACAGGGGAATATCTGGGACCCGGTAACATAACAGACAGAGGTTTCTTTGCGCTGATGGTTCTAAGGCCAAGAAACATCAGGGTACAGCATTGTACCATTTCTCTCTGAGACGGACAGCAGATGGGCAAGCAGGTTCATGTGAAAGACAGGGTCATACCTCCATGATCACTAACCCACTCTCTGGTGACAAGAATTTATGAGTTTGTGAGGACATGGCCTGCAAGACCCAAATATCACCCACAATGCCCACACCCACTACTTAACAGTGCCACACTGAAGAATGACTGTCCTAACACATGAATGTGGGGAAACATTCAAATTAAGATGCCCACACTGCATCTGGAAATCCTCCTTCTAGCTGCTTTGAGCTCTTGGAGCCATTCTGCTCACTGATGTGATTGGATTAATGTTGGGCCCTGTAAGGCCTGGGCGTGAGGCCCAGTGTAACTTCCTGAGACTAACTCGAGTTTGGCAACCTGTCTTCGGACATGACTTCCACATACGAGTGACTCAGCTCTACCCGATCTAGAATCGCCTCTGCCTAGTAACTG